GATCAAGTGTTTGCTGTGATTGGGGCAGAGATCAAAGCTTTCTTGAGCGTCAAAATGAACCAAGTTCATGGAATCCTCTCCAGCCTCTGTTGTTTTCTTGAGCTCAAAACTTGGATGCTGCGAACAAAACCTTTTCCCCTTGATTTTGCATATTTTATCTCACTCCTTTGGTCCAAAAAACTCAGTCCATCAACCTTTGTTGGATCAATGATCTTTAGAAAGAAAAGTGTTTAGAGCCCTACTCTTTGTTGGAATAGATTCCCATGATCGTTCGCACTATGGTTTCAAAAAGCACGCGAATCTGGATTGACCATTAACGGGGAGATCTAATATTAGATTGGCGACATAATCCATGTCGTGAAATCATGATTACGATCATTGTTTTTTCGTTGCTTGTCTAATAAGTATAAAAACCCGGACCAAATCGATCGATCCCACTAAAAAAAATGGAACCGAACCCTCAGTCGATTTGGTTCTCTAATTTGATCATTTTTTTCTTAAAAGGATTAGAATGTTCTTAATTTTTTTTTTTAGTATCAAATATTTAAAATATATAAAATATTTATATATTAATTCATCTGTAGAAGTTTTCTTGACATCCTCCAAATCTGCATCTGAATCAAAAAGATAGTACATGACATATTACTCTGCAAGTTGCAATTTACTTGTAAATGTTGACATCCACCAACCATACAAACCCCTGTGAATGTTGTTCTGTGCAGAGATAAAATTTGACACTGCAAGATGAACTTACACACACTCTCTCTAGAATCTTGAAGAACTTGGGAAGAGCTGCTGCTCTTTACATGAATGAGTAGTCCATCTCCCTCATGAATTTGATTTGGGGAGGATATGATTGTTGACTCTGGACATCATCACGGTGTATTATTTTCTGATAGAGAAAAATCCTGCTTGACTTTGTACTCATGCATTCTGCCAATTCAACGTTGCTTGCAAGTTAAGCTTGAGAAGATCAAGACTGCATGGATGAGTCTCTGATCTAAAAAGCACCTTAAATGACTTGTCACCAATGGAACCTATGAGCAGATCTGAGCTGGTTAATTTGCTGCGTTTGAGAACTTCCTGTGATTGGAGCGGTAGTCCTCTTGATGGATGCTATTGGGACAGTGGTCCTCCAATACCTTTCATGAGGCAACTCCCAATCATGCTCACTTGGTTGGCACTGGAATTCCATATGATGCACCTGATCTGTCAAGCAAACAAATGTGTGGAATCGTTGTCAGTGGCCCAACCATTTGACTAACAAAGATTGGATTAGATTAAGCAAATAAATCAGAATTCAATGATGGTCACAATCTCAAATGACATTGACAGTTTGCTAATGATAATGATGTCATCTAATTTTTTCGGTTAGTATCGACAAACGGTTTGTTGATGAACAACTGAGAAATAAAATGATCAGACAGATGCCTATATTTGCAAAATAACATCAGCTCAGATTATGATGGTTGAGAACAAAGTCTTAGTATGAAATATGAATCCCAACATTTTTCTTTTTAGCAAAAGAAAATTTATTAAAACTTGTGGGTTCTACAAAGGGATTGTAGGAGAACATTGCTCTCAATTAATGAAAGGAAGGCCTTCCTCCTACAACAAAGAGGAGCTGTCAGTGTTGAGTTTAATCCATCCGGTGGCTTTTGCCATTGCAACCAAAGTATATTACCTTTATGTTTTGTGGACTCTTAGGTTACAGAAAATAAAATATCCAAATAGCCTTAGATACTGTTCATTAAAAAAGAAAAAGATGAATTTTGCACATTCCAAATAAACCATAATTGATTTACGATGGTAGCTTGAAGCAACATTCCAGTAAATCTTAACTTCATCATGATACCAGTGATCAAACATCTTCTACATTTATGTTTGTGGACTATTAGGTTACAGAAAATGAAATGTTCCCTTAAAGTATGAAAAGAGACTTTAGACTTATCTAAGAGGCCAGCTTTAATGACTACTTTAGAGATGAGCGGAACACATTTCATTTAATGTGATCCTGGCAGGACAGAGAGCCTCACAGATGATTCACACATCAATGTCAATAAATAAGACCTGTTTATGGGACTGATATGAGAGGTTGACAAGCTAATCTACTTCCACATCTACATCTACATCTTGGTGTGTGCTTGCAGTTAGGTTTCTTTCAATTCTTGTCATGTTCATAGATGAGCATGTGGTGGGGACTCAGTGGTGAAGGGAAATTGACTTGTCAACCAGAACAGTGAATGAATGGTATTCCTGTCTGTGGTCCAACTATTCAAACTTGTGGTTAGATTATGCAACAAAATCCAAAGCTAATGAGATTGATCTTTTACCCACTGAAACATCCTCCTTTCAGAGAAAGGTTTTTCCCAGTGGCATTCACAAATCCAACTTCTGCACTAGAAATCTTTTGGTGGCAGCTGCAAGCCTGCAATAATGGAGCTTCAAGTGCACAAAAGGTGCCACTACTTGCAGAAATGAATGCATCATGAATCATGACTCATGTCTCAGTCAAAGAAAACAAGAAAAAGGAGGAGAGGAAAGAGAGAGGACTGTAGATGAGCATTACTAATTTCAGAACATGAAGGCCTCATATTGGGACCATCACAAGAAATCATATCTGAGAACCTGGCACAGTTGGTACTTGTGCTGCATTTGGACAGAGTAATCAGATCAAGTTGGTCCAATACCATGTAATCAGAAGGTGTTTTGCTTACTGACACTCCAAGTTTGCCCTTTCTAAAACATTGATGCCCTGTTCTCATGCTCACATTATTCACTTCTTTGCTGTTGGCTCTTGGTGAGAGCAACTGTGCAGAACATAATGAACTGACTCTAGCACAAATCATAGACAACTTACAGACACTATTTTTCAAGGATATTTCATGTCCCCTAATGAGACAAGATTTATTTCTAAACCCTAAGATTCATATGTGATTCAAATCGATGACAGACCTAATCCAATTAATCAAAGAGCAAAACCCTGATCACAAATGTGAATACAACATATGAGGTCTCTGCAGATTAAGATCTGAAATTTGAACATCTTGATTCGATGGCATCAGATTAAGTGTTGAATCAGAAATAAGAAGTGGACCCAAGCATGATCTGAATTATATTCTTCTCAACTTTGGAGGATACAAGGGACAAGATGACACTGGCACCTGACTGCATTCTCCCAACCAGACAATTATGACAAAAGGGGTCCAAAAAGACCTACCACTTGCTTGTAGTTAAGCAAACCAGCTACAAAAATGCTTAGGATATCCTAAGCCTGCTTTCTAGACAAATTATTTGAACTTTGTGGAAGAGATGAGCACCCCAGGTAATCATCATTTCTTGGCTTATGTCTGGAAAATAAGAGATTGGAGTATGTGAGAACTCCAACACTTCACATGGCCTCTTGATGGCGTTTAATGGTCATGTGGACCAGACGTAAGGACCTTGACACTGGGGAGGACTGTTTTGAAGGAAGAGAAAACCTACATAACTTGTATCAGTTCAACAAAACAGTATTGTGAGACATCACACTGCCTAATTTACCTTGCATGGTCCCTATTCTGATACACAATACAAAGAAGGAAAAGACAGAGGCTTCGAGTGCAAGGAGGACTACCTCATGTCATCACACGACCACCATCAGATTAAAATTAGGTGGTGGTGGTGGTTGATGACACATCCTCGAGTTTTTTTACATATTCTGTGCTTTTGTTTAAAGAAACTTGGCAGGTTGATGTGCTGAAAAAATATATGTATGTTGGCTGTACAAACTAGCTTCTTTAAACTTTCTTTTGATGTACATAATCGAAATCTTCTAAAAAACTAACATGAAAACTTGCTACTGACATTGATGTCTGTAGTCTTTCTATAACTAGAATAATGGAGATTAAACAAATTTAGATTCTCTTGATAAATCAATCAAGCATAGGTGCAAGTGGTGCACTATTTTGGAACATTGGACTGTAATCACTGCTTTCATGCCACAAATGTTGGGCAACCAAGAACCAAAAAAAACTTAAGCCGATGTGATGCACACTCAAAACAAGGTGGTTGTCTTTGTACATATTTTTCTCAGCAACAACAGGATGAAACTTGGAAGAGAAAATGTGATGGATCAACTATCAATTCACCATTACCCTTCGACCAATAGATTTGTTGTTTTCTCTTTGGGCTTGGTTTATTGCTGATTGATTTTTAGGACATATAAGAACTTATTATTGATTGAAACCTACACAAGAAATCTGACATAATAGAACTGATTCCATCTTTAATGCTTCCATGACCTACCACCTCCTAACCTGCAGATGGACAGATTTTGATGCAATACGCAACTCCTAAAGGAAGTTCATATATCAGCTGAGCAGTCACCCAAATATTGAATTCACAGATGAATTTGAACAAACAGGAAACCTGCACAATGACCATGGGGCTCAATTAGCTCCTGAGCTCATACACGTCTCTTGCCAAACTCCATCAAATGAAGTCCATAGCAAGCAACACTGCTAATACAATGTAAGAGGGCAACTAGTAGTACTGACTTGTTTATCTGATGCTCCGCGAGGTAACAGGAGGGCCATGATCACAGAATGGGACTAGCTTTTGTCCCAAAGACTCCCATTCCATGCGCTGGTGGAAAGGAAAAGGCAACGAGGTTACTTCTCCATCAATGATTCAGTCTCTTATCTTCTCTTTGGTTATGTGGCCCCTCGCACCCCCACAATCCCATGACAAGAAGAATCTCATCCCCCCTGGCTGCTGCTGCTGACAGCATGCAGTAGATGATGGCTACTTCCCTCATCCTCATCCATGACCTGCAAGGTAAACCATGCCTGCCATGCTCTTTACCTTGCCCAGCACCCACTGAAATCTTGCCACGTGGAGCGTAGCCCATCAACCATGGATTGGCTCATCTCTCTCTCTCTCTCTCTCTCTCTCTCTCTCTCTCTCTACATTATAGTGACACACTGGGTGCAGGATCCACAGTACTATATTATCACGGTGTTCTGAGTCCTACCTCACCTTCATCCCATTGAAGAAGGCAACTGCACTTGCTTGAAGGCTGCTTTCTTCTCTTCAACATCCCTTCCCTAACAAACAAGAGAGAGAGAGAGAGAGAGAGAGAGAGGGATGGGGAATTGCCAAGCGTCGGAGGCGGCGACGGCGGTGATTCAGCACCCGGGAGGAAGAGTGGAGAGGCTGTACTGGCCGACGAGCGCGGCGGCCGTGATGAAGAGTAACCCAGGCTACTACGTGGCCCTCGTCACTCTCTACGTCTCGGAGGAGAAGCAGGACGGCAGCGGCGGCAACGTCCGGATCACCCGCGTGAGGCTGCTGAAGCCCAAGGACATGCTCCTGCTCGGCCAAGTCTACCGGCTGATCACCTCCCAAGGTTCTTCCCCTGTTCCCGTCTGTACCTCCGTCGAGAACCCGCAATCCTCCGTCTAACAGTGAGCTCTTTCTGATGCTTGGTCAGAGGTCACAAAGGCTCTGAACCAAAGGAAGCACGAGAAGCTCAAGAAGACCCAGGCTGAACTGATCAGGAAACAGCAACAGGGGGAGCAGCAGCAGAGAAGAAACGATCAGGGTTGCGATGCTGTTCCACAGGAAACGCAGGAGGTTTCAGAAGACGCACATCAGGTACATTCTATCTGCCTCTGCTCCGCAGTAATCCTTTCACAAGAATGATTGAAAGAGACAAGAAGCAAAGAGAGTTTAGTAGGATTAAGCAATTAACAGCGTCGCTGCTCTTCGTGTTCCTGCGACGATTCAGGCAACAAAGCAGGAGAGGGATCGGCCAAAGAGCAGCACGCAGACGGCAACCAGAGGCCGACATTGGCGGCCTTCGCTTGGAAGCATCTCGGAAGTGGTGAGCTAATTCTGCAGCTGTCTCCTTCTGCTGCGGTCACCACAGAAAGACTAGTATTAACGTGCTTCACAGTCTCATGTCTCAGCCATGGGATGAGGCTTCATCTGGTTAGTGTGTTCCTGTTTACGAGAAGCATCACATGGAAAAGAAGAATTGGGATCTGAATTGTTACTGTGAGAGAAATTTCAGAGAGTCCCTGTAAAGATAAACACTCTTGAATAACACGGTCTTCACGGTGTGCTCATCACCAGTGTTCAGAAACAACAATGCATGTCTCATCATAATCTTGACCTTGCGAAACATGAATTGCAACAGCTTTCTTTCCATGTTTAGGATCAAACATACGTATCTATGGATTTCAAATTGGTAGAATTTGAGACGACAGGAGAGATAAGCAGTAATATCTTTATATTTAACTGTATATAAGATGCTCTCACACCAAATCATGTCGAGACTTATAGACTATGCAACAACAATACACTAACCACTGTTGGCATTGTTGGCTCATAGAGTTCCAGGAAGTTTCTTCTTCCTTAGTGCAAGTAATATATTGGTGAAGGATTCCACCAACTGTGTCCAAGATCATCCCTGCTCCTTGTCTAAGAAGCTTCTGTGTGTTCAGATCACAGAGCACCAAAAGATGCTGCTAAGATTTTGATGCTGTGGTAGATCTGCTATCTCAATAAAATTACATATCCTAGATTTGTGTTGCGAACAGACTGAAGAACGAGGATGTGGATTAGAAATCTGAAGGATATCAAGTGTTCTTTGGGATGATTTAGCTTCATATAATATATGAAGTCTGATACTTCCACTATAATCTTTCCCATAAACTTAAAGAATAAGGAAAAAAAAAAGATTTCGATTGCAGAGAACATTAAGATTTGGAATAGAAATTACAAATTTCGTGATCAAACCATGAAGCATTTAACCAAAGTTATTCATGGGTATGATAAAAGGATAAGAATAAAAAGAAAACATCATCATAATTTTTTTTAAATGATAGGAAAAAAAGGGATTATTAGAAGAGAATATATTATTTTTCGGTATGTTATTATTGACACCAAGTTCTTTAATTAGTTTCCTCCTAATTTATTTTCTATCGGTGACATTATTATTTTTGTTTAAGATCTATCTAAATAGTAAAATAATAATTATCTTTTGAAGTAAAATAAAATGTCACTTGTGAGCCTATCAGATAACAAAAGTGGCCTAAAAGAACTCTTTTTAATATCAAATAACAATATATCAAATTTACGATATGTACTTTTGATGTTATTCTGATGTTATTCAGATATCAAATATACCATCGTTAAATTCGAAAGTCACAATAATACAAATATATAAGAAGATCTATAATCTCTTAATAACTAATTGTTTCGTCCTTAAAAAATGTTATCATTTATAGACGAGAGCAATTATCATATGAGAGTCTCTCCTATCAAAAGATCATTTTCTAAGGAATTCTACCATAATTAAACTTTCTTTTTGTTAGCTAATAACCATTCATATCTATAATATATAATACTATATAATCTAATATTTTTCCAGTTGACTCATTAATTTATAAGATATAAAATATTTGAAAATTAAAATAAATAAAATAAAAGTTTATTTTAAAATAATTTTACTGAAACTTTAAAAAATTATTTTACATGTACATACAAATTTTATAAAACATGCCAATAAGTCTAATAAACATAATATTATATTAAATCTAATTATCAATACGAGTCATAATAATTATTTGTCATCAACGTAATAATTCCTTTTATGTATCACAATACTATTAACCATTCATAATGTAATCCAAAACGACTTGTAATTTGTCTTGCCAAGACAATCATGTTATCACAATCGACCATAATATATACATACATAAATATGAATATGATAGCAAAAGTAAATAACTTTAATTACATAAATAATAATGTCAATTATCATGTTTACTTAAATATATATCATCAAATCTTTTATAGGTTATGCACAAACCCAATTATAAAAATATGTTCTTTCAAACACTCTAGGTTGTAAGTGCTTAAGTGAATGTATCAATGGAACTTAAGTTCTTAATTGATATTAATTATTTCTGAACTTTTTTCTCTAACCATCAAGTACTTTATACTATAATATATATAATTATTAGAGTACTTATTATTCTTATAGAAGAAAAACTAATAGGATATGTCACAAAGTATCTTTGCGACTTAACAATTGAGTTTGACTACATCAAGTCATAAGATAAAATTTTATAATAAAAAAGCCTAATTAATGGGCTTAAAGTATACTACAAAATTATTCTATAGTTGATAATGAATAATACATTGCTTTATATTTTTTTCTTGTAAATTATCTCTTTAGTTAATCTAAAATGTAAAGTAGACTCGCTAAAGTAAACATATGAAAATATCATCATTTCAAGCTTATCTCATTTCATATATGTAAATATATAATTCTTCATTCCTTCCATAAATCTTATTAATTTTTTTATAGCCTTTTAGTATTTTATTTCTCAATAACTTTAATATATATCTAGTATTTATACTAATATCTAGTTTGGTTTAGACTTAAGCATGTAATAGACTTTCAACTCCACATACATAATAAATATATTTTTTTATTTGATTTTTTTTCAAAATTTTAAAAATACTTATTTTACCTAGATTCTTTACTCATTTGCTAAACAAAACTGCATATTAAATCTCTCTAAGACTTGGTCAATATATCCTTTCTAAAACAATTCTATCAATTTTTTAGATTTATTCATGAATATCTTAATATCAATAATATAAGCTATCTCATTTATATCAACTATCTTAAATTATTAATGAGAAATTTTTTGATTTGATATAATAAACTAAGATCACTATTATCAAGTCAAATATTATCTACACATAGACCAATATAATAAATTAGCTCCCATTGACCTTCAAACATAAATATTGATCAATAATATTTTTAAATATGAAAAATAATAGAATTATGAAACTTTATATAACATTGTGCTTGTTTAAGGTCATAAATGAATCCCTAAATTTGTATATCAAATTTTATATTTCGTTTATTTCCATGTGAATCATTTATGTTAATTCATATAAATCTCGATATCCTTTCAGAAAACTTATTTTCACATCCATACGATATAACTCAAAATCATAATCAATTACTAATATTGTAACGATTCTTAACAAGTCTATTTAACAAAACTAAAGAAATATCTCATTATGATCGATATATTTTTTATAAGTAAAATATTTAACCATAAGTAATATTATTCGATATTACCCTTTTAGTCATATTTATATAACAAATTTTTTTATAGTTATTGAGTAATTGGATGAGTTCTCAAACATCATTTTGGCCTATTGATTTTAAGTCTTCTTTTATTGCATTATATAATTTTTTATAATCATTACTTTTCATAACTTATAAAAACAATGAGGGACCCTTTTGATTCCTATATGATTTTTATAAATATATCACATAATAATAAAAAATGAAAGATCTCCTTTTTCTTTGATATATTCTCAAATTATCCATTATGGTTGTTTTATAATATCGTTAACGACGACATCCACATTATGTGGGAGTTCATTAATTTTATTTTATTATTCATCCTCATCGATTCTTTTAGTAATTTGAGAAACAACAATCACTCAAAAATGATAAACGAGTATCTACCTATATCTTCTTAATATCAAGATTAAATTTTAAAATTTTCACTCTTACTAATTTACTATATTTTAGGAATCTTACGTTACTATATTTGACAGTCCTACTATGACATTAAAATCTATATCCTTTAAAATTTTCTAGATAAATAATATAATATCTAAAAATAGTCCTTAAATTTAATTTTTTTTACATGAATTGAAGACTCATATCTTTGTAAAATAATCATAAATATATAAATATCTCAAGTTGATTTTCTATTGATCCATAAGAAGTTGATAAAATTGACTTACTAGAAACCTTATTCAAGATATACATAATTGTCCTTACAGTTTCACATTATATTAATTTATATCTATAAAAGTACGATTTTACCTTTTAGTAATCTCATTCTACTATGACATATCTAATAAAACATAATGAATGTAAATACCCCGCTTTTCTTTAAAATTTATCATCCATAAATTTATCATCCATATCAAATTTGATAATTTGGACTTTTCTATCTAATTATCTCTCGACTTTATTTATGGTATCAATAGCCTGAGATCTTAGATAGTCATCTCAATGGATAATCTATAAAGGTGATAAAATATCTCACTCCACTAAAATAGAGAACATGGAGTGATGCGCAAATATAAGCATATATAATCTCAGAGAGTTTATGAAACTATGGTTCATTTTAATATTTGATTACAAGATCATTGTAAACTCGAGATTCAACCTTAATTTTATACAAATCACTATATAAAATTTTAAAATTATTTTTTATTAAATTATAAATATACTAAATTTATAACTATCAGAAGAGAAATAATATTATGATAATTCTAGATAAAGAACTCAAATTTCTAGAATTATAAAGCATGAATCATCTCTAAGTATAGACGATAAGTATTGATTATTATCGCTCTCGCTTTAAATGATTGTTTGTAACGATGAATATTTCATACTCTTTTAATTCTCATATTAAAATAAATATCTATAATTAACAACATATATTGAAATGTTAATACCAATCTACCAAGTATTAGAAAAGATTTGATTCAAAACATACAAAGGTCAAACTTATATCTTTTCCTTTCGAACCAAAATCTTATAATCCTTTTTTCACATCTTTCTTACCATAAAAATAACACTTTACTATGAAGTTTTTTTTTATGAGTTTATATAGTATTTAAAAACTTGAGTGATTTACGCTTCAACTTTCTTTTATTATTACTTCTTGAATAATATATTATGAGTATTTCTTACTTTAATTTTAATTCTTTCTAAACATATATGCTAGCAAACTGGTTTCACTATCCTTAATTTTATTATAATAAATTTTAAATGAATCAAACTAAGAAGAAATATAATTAAAAATAAATTGTACAAAAAAAACTTAATTATATTTATATAATTTTTTTATGGTTACAGCTTTGTCATACATATTGAGGATATATTTTTGAGTTTCTCAAATACTATTATACTTAATTTCAATCAATTCTTTTATTAATATGTTAGTTAATGGCTTGTTAGTAAATTTAAATTTATCTTTAAAACATTCAAATATGTTAGTTGTAGACTATAATGAAATCTAAATATTATTATGA